GAAGTGTCAGTTAATGAATCGGTCGATTAAATACGAAACAGAGAGGGAGGGCCCGGGATTGGCGTGGCGAATAAAAGGAACAATGCGAATCGCATGCGCCGGCGCGATCATTATTTAGTAATTACTCATACAAAGCAGATGGTGATGGCAGCAGCTGCAATTGACGTTTTTGTGCCTATATTGCTACAAAAGAGAAAGAGAGAGGAGAGCGCGACTTTGGAAACTCGTTTTGATCGTCGTTCGTTATCGCGGCGTTATTATGTATGCTTTTGACAGCGGCGAAAATACTATAGACTTTTGAAAAACAAATCCAAGTAGTCGTAATCTTTTTTTTATCAATGAAATGGAAAAAAATCTACAGCTCAAGCTCAATCTTTTGAAACTAGAGTTTTTTTTTTTTTTTTTTTACCTATAGTCAAAACCTGTGGAAGATTACCTACTCAAAATTTAGCTTTGGTCTTCGGTACATTAGGCGATATACGTATTCTATCGTCACACTCGAAACTGACGGTGAGAGCGGAAACCCATCCTTTCTTCGAAACATAAACGTGGTATAAAAGTGTACAACATGTGCACTGTTAAAAAGCACACGCAAGTACACAAAGGCAAGTTAATTGTCGGAACGGCACTTTTTATTTACTCGATTGCCGTAATTTCGTTGACAGTGTTCCGTATGGTGCACATGTATAAGCACCTGACCGTAACATGCAAATATTGTACATACCTGCAATCGCTCTTAGGCCGATTAGCATAAATTTCACCTCTTGCTTTCTTCGTTACAATATTCGGTTTTTTTTCTTCTATTCTTTCTCTTACTTATGTCATCCGGGAAATTTTTACTGTTTTCCACGCTATCCAGAACAGCAAGTTTTACCATCCCATCAATGAAAACAAAAATTACTGTCCCGGTAACCCGGAAAAATTGAGTGAGACGAGGCAAACAGTGAAAAAACTCCCTGGACTACCCAATTTCACCGATTTGCAGCAACTGGGACACAAATGTTCCTCGGTTCCAAGTAGTGCTGCGCACTAACGTCTGATGATTTAACGCGCGGGGGTTGAAAAACGCCGAAACTCAAAGCGAGCAACTTTGGTAAATTATCTTCCCCGGCACTTGGCAGCCAGCAGTTTCGCCAAGTGAAGAGTCGCCTTCCCACCCTACCCCTCTCGCAGTGAATTCCAAACTCAATTTCTTCCTCTGAGGGACCCGTTTGTATACGTATACAGTGTACATGCAGCTGCAGTCGTATACCACCCCTACCCCTCTCGTTTAGCATAAACGCGCATTTAGATATATCGCCCAGAGAGACTGTGCGATCCTCGGCTGGAGGGTCTCGGCAAACTCATCTGGCGAGAGTTTCAGGGCTCCTTCCCTCGAACCTAATTATTGTCACTGCCATCGCCCACCCCCTCCCCACTTTGGGGCTCAAAGGCCAAAGAAAAGGGGCGGGACGAGGCATATCCACAGACGCGCAGCTCGTCTGTTTGCGGCACGTAAGACCGAGCGAGCCACTCATGACGGAAGCTACTTATCCAATTTGTATTCCGTAATGGATACACGTATACGCTACGTATATTTATATACATGTGTGTGTGCGCGGGAGAGTCTTGTGTGCATTTGCATGTAGGTACCTACGTGCAGTCATAGGGTAGATGTGTATCAAGCACGCGTGTAACGGGGCTCGCGCACGCGTGACGACCCCGACGATGTTTCAACTTCTACGAGTATATAAACTTAACTTGCATTATAATGGGCTCGACGACAGAGCACAACGCTTCCTCTTGCGATACCTCCTTTGCTTTCTGTTTTTTTTTTTTTTTTTTTTTTCGAGCGGCCTCTCGTTTATGTATACACACAAGCTCGCGTAGTCCGATTACGGACAGTGATACCCGAGAGTTGGTGCGCGAGTTTTAAGTGGCACGAGGATGGCTTTTATTCGCTCGTCGCGACCGAGCTTTTCTTTTTCGTCTCCGACTGCTCGAGCTTTCGTGGTGGCTTCAGTGTGTGCACAATTTTTTTGTTCTTGCTGTTTCACACACAATTTAATACCAGGTGTAAAACTCGATATTTTCATAGCTAAATGGTAAAAAGTGCCATACCACATATTATATGCTTGTGTAAAAAATGTATCATCTCATACTCATTTGGAGAAACATATCACCTCGATTACTATTGGAAAACACGTAATTTTTAAATTTTGTTGGATAAGACGCGTTACAATGTATACTTAGGAAACGCATCATCTGTGATATTTATTATCTCTCGTGGAGTATTAACAAAAGTGACTTTCAACATTATTTGATCGGCGCATCATCGAAAAAAACAAAAGTTATTGATTTAGCTATGTTTTAAATATAATTGCCAAAAACATAATTTCATCGATCGAAAGAAGCCATTAGGCCAATCGTATGGATCGAAGACGTCGCATTTAACAGTAGTGCTTTTGAAATTGCAAATAAGTAATGTTCCCATTTATATTTATATAGGTATACTGCCGCCCCATTTAACTTGAGCTAATGCTCCATTCGCCTGTATGTTGGCGCGTATTTTTGGCAAAGAGCTTTTTTTTTATTCAACATACATTAGCTACAAAAGGAGAAGGAAAATCGAGCTTTTATAAAAATTCGACTGACTATCTGTTGTTTTTGTTGCGTCTAGGTACGAATAAAAAGAGATACATCGGTCTACGCTGGAGCGGACGCGTTTTATGGCCCTTCATTGGCCCCTGCGTCGAAACAAAACAAAAACACAAAACGTCACGCACAGGCGCGCGCGGGCGTGAAAAGGGAAAAAATCAAATTATGTTCCGCAGCAGCCCGACCCACAAAATTCTCCCTCTCTGCGTATACGAGTTGCGTTTTCCCTCCCGTGTATCCCTCTCTTCCAGCAACTACAACACCCAGGCCATCCCTCAAGCTTATATACATACATATACATCGCGTCCGACACATGTGCCGTCAGCGCGGAACGCTAAAACTGCATTTCCCTCCGCCCCTCTCGCCATGTGGGCGCGTAGGTGCTTTATGTATCTGCATTATGCTATCTTCCCTTGGCTCTATACGCCTGAACGTCAAACCTTGGCGTCGTCACCGAGGCCTATTGCTCGTGTTATTGCATTTCCCGTGTTGCATGTATATGTACACCGATGACACTGTGCGTACACCTGTGAAACGTGTGCGCCAACTCGTTTGGTCGCTCTCTGGTGGAATACGCTCCCATGGAACGTGCCGAAGGTACGTAACACAATGCACACACGTGAGGGAGAAGATCGAGTGATACTTGCGTATTTACGGGAATCTGATTTGAAAAACAATACGAGTTGGGTCTGCACGTTTGTTTCACCTAATAAATTTACTCGCAATGAAATGAAGCGATGAAACGCCACATACATATGATATAAATACAAAGTAAAGTGGACGAGCGTCTAACTACACCCCCATTTATGTACGTACAACGCGCGTTTAGCCTAATTGGCAAGTAATTCGAATCTCTCGTTCATCCCAATACCCCGCGTGCAGCCGTGCGAAGTGTAACGTTGATTTTCATCGAATTCGACGAATTTTCCACTCGTCCACAGCCACCTCCAAATCTACAGCCGACGAAGCGGAAACAACACGCCGTTTGAGCAAACGATATCGATTGGATTTTCGCGATCGAAAAAATTAAGGCTTTAATTGCACGCGTGAACTTTGCTTTGCGAAATTTCCTTTTCCCAACCTCGTCGGTAGCAACTAAAATGTACACTACTCGCGTACAACCCACCCCCTCTCGTTTTCGTTGAAAGAGGAGCGAAACCAACTTCCGAGTTGATGGCTCTCACTTATTTCCGGCGCCGACTCGTGAGCTGCGAATGGAAATGTAACATGAAATTGGACCGAAAGCCTCTCTCTTCTCTTTTTGCCCTTCTCACCATACCTATATATAGTCCGTGCTGTATATATCGAGGAAATGAGATCGAGCTTATATGGGATCGCTTAGCGCCCAACGCTGATAATAATTACTATATGTGGATGCGTGTATTCAGGACTATTTGATGGCGATGAACGAAATCACATTGTACATGTCGGTGTATATTTTTAGATAAGCCTTTTTTTTTTTTTTTTTTTTTTTTTTTTAAATAGATACAATTTATTCGATTGTGTGCAATAATCTGTTTTTATTCAAAGTATTTTATATAAAAAACATCAAACAAGTTTGTAGAAACTTACAAGTGTGGTATATACCCCCTACTTACTGGAAGGTAAAGACAATCGACATCATTTTTACCATTTGTATAATATTGATTTTTTTTTTTTTTTTTTTATAAAGTTGGCGTAGATTTGGTTACTTTGCAAGCTCGTAAGAAATTATTTGGATTTACATTGTAAGCGCCACACTGTCTCAACTGTTCGTAAGAGGCTCTTGGTCGCGCGCAAAACTTCGCCACGTATACATATCGATCGCCAATAAAAGCTGTATAGGTATACGTATATGTACCATCGCCGGTGCATTGTTTCACGTTTTCAGTCGGACGGACGACGGGCTTTGACGTCGAGCTTCCTGTCCGGAACTCCCGCGCGTCCATCAAAGCAGCACATCCGTGCGTGCGATGCACACATTAAGGAGAGTTCAAACGCTTCCCTCCCCCCTTCAAATCATATATACACGTGCCCGAAAGATCGCCTTCAACAACTTCTTCGTCCGCCAAGCTACGGAAAAAAAAAAAAATTTCAACCCCCCACCCGCAAAAAAGGGTTGTTCGACAACAGTGACCTGAAAATGTGCAACGTTAATGTCACCCATACGTAGTTACCGGTTCCCGATTTTTCGATTATCCTCTCTCTGCAGACTGGAATTGCACCGTCAGGCAATCGAGTTTTAATCGACCCCCTTTGAATCCGCACAAACTCGCGACTCGACAGCTCGAGCATATACCAGATAGTGGTATGGGGGGAGGGTAGGGTGCCGGAGAGAGAAAAAATTGCGTCTCTAATGTGTTGCATCGATGTTCTCGTTTCAGCTGCAGTCGAAGCGCGAGTTGTTCTTCAAGGGTGACAGCGGCCTGATAACGTCCCCGGCCGCGGTGCCTGCGGCGCCTACGGTGCCACCCCCTCAGCCACCGACGATCGCCAACAACAACAACAACTCGGCGACGGCCAACAACATCAGCAACTCCGTCCACGTCGGTGGTCCCGGCAACAGCGTCACCACGTCGTCGGGCCCAGCGACGGCCCCTGGCCAAGCCCCGGCCAAGCCTCGGCTTCAACTGCTTAACAACAGCAATGCCCAGCAGCCGCCGAGCGACAGTTCGGAGGACAGCAACAGGCGCGAGTCCGCGAGATCCGCGGCCGAGGCCATGAGCGCCAAAGAGGCGGCCGCGCCCAGGGCCAACGTGCCCACCAAGCCCAAGGAGCTCGACGGCTACGTCGGCTTTGCCAACCTCCCGAACCAGGTGTACAGGAAGGCCGTGAAGAAAGGCTTCGACTTTACCCTCATGGTGGTCGGTGAGTACTGAGTCTTTTTTTCTTTTTTTTCCAACAACTTGCAAGTCCGGCTCGTGCATATATATATTGTATGGAAAAAGTTGCGCGGATATTTAGGTACAAAGCCCGTTGTTATTTTTGTGATTTCCTCAGCTGTGCTTTTTAATTGAAGCAGTTGAAGTGCATATAATCAACGCAAAAGTAGCAGAGCTTGCAAAAGTAATTTAGCTTCTCTTTGTTGGGAGCGAGAGGGGAGCTTTCGCGAGTTATTTTTTGTAAAATGTAAATATAATTTTTACACTTATACCGTGTCGAGGCAAAACTACAGGATCGACAGTCCTTTCTCGTGTGGGTACCACTGCAGGTCTCTGCGGCCATACAGCAGTCCCGGCACCAGCTGCACGTCCCCGCTGTTTGAGCAACGTGCGCGACAGATGGGAACGCGTATACCTACTTATGTTTTCGCGGCAGCGGACAGACTGTAACGCACGCACCACATATATATATTGTACTGCTCGCCTTAGAAGTCAAACGTATAAACAGATATTGGTTTTTTTTTTTTTTTTTTTTTTTTTTTTTTCACAAACACATTCGTGTAATTATTATTATTATCTGTTTAAGTTGGTAGACGTGGTCAAGAAAGAAAATCCAACAAAAATACTTCATTTTGACTTGAAAAAAAAAAAAAAAAAAAAAAAAAAAAAAACAATCGTACAAAGAAAGTCACGTTTGAAACAAACAGGTCAATTATTAAAAGTCACGTTTGACTGTATAGTGACATTGATGACACAGGATGAACTACCTTAAATGTAAAAACTAACGCAACAAAGAGTACAATTAATTTGGAAAATATTGTCCTTGGAGTGATGATAGAGATAAATGTATTTCCAGCACAGACAGAGCGATCGAAGAGGTATCTTTTTGTTGGCTCTTCCGTACACTCTCTTGCCTTGACTTTGAGGCAACACACGCCCCCCTTCATTCGCTGCGAGGCGCGTCAAATATCACACACATAGGAGCATCGCGGTAAATCCGAGAATTATCGTTTCCGCTTTTTTCTTTTTTTTTCCTCGCACAAACGATACAACCCAAGTGTATGTATATGATACACATCACGTGTACAGGCGTGGCTAGTCTCTTTGTACCCAATGCACCGCGTTCTCCACGTCTGAGGAATGACGTTTACGATTCATTTAACAACTCCCGATGCTGATTCATGGAGCGCGAATGCCCCGAGACCGTATACATTGCTAATACCGCCTTGTGTGCGCTTGTTTCTCTTCCGCGTCACTGAACCATCGGCATATAATTTTATTGCAACCTTTTTTTTTTTTTTCACGTCTAACTATGCAACTTTTTACTTACTCGCGGTGCCATTATTGACCATCGACGCTGACGTAAACTTCTGTAAGTACGGAAATAAATAAAAAATGTACAAGAAACAAAGAAATTTTTACGTATCAAAGCACAAAAGCGCAAACAGACGCGTGCCTATTGTTACGCCGACACTCGTCATTTTTATTTGTTTACAGCTCGAGGGAAGTAAAAGATAACTTATACCGTATGCAATACAAAGTCCCGAGTGGACTCGATTCCAAAAGCGAGAGACATTTGGAAACGCGAGTGTCGTGTTATTAATAGCCTCTCTCTCTCTCTTTTCATCTGCCGCGCGCTGGCGCGTACTTATTAAGTATATCGTATGCGCCACACTTACTCCAGTTTGGTAATAAATATCATCGAGGGACTGCAATGAGTATTTTTACAACACGAATGAGCGCAACGAAAATAACCCGTCGTGTAATACTAAGGCATCACGTACGTATATATATGTATATGGGTAACCCGAGTGTCGATTTAACATTTTTTACAATACCCTTTCTTTGTCCGTTGTGCATAGCGCAGTGGTGGGACTCTTGATTAGCCATCGAGATTATATTATATTTTTGTATTTCCCAACGAGCTCGTTTGTCTTGAAATCAATCCCGTATTGGATACCTTCGGTTTAGCCGTCCAGTGTATATCAAATCAATCCCTGTCTACGTTTAATGGCCACCTTTGAGCTAACGATTACGACAGACATCAGCTAAACCAAATTGGATATACCTATCCGGACAATGAATTCAGCTTCTGGCTTTTAGTTTCATTTACTTGTACGTTGACGATCATCTCAAGTTTTTACTTTGTAAATTGAGATTAATTTTTTTTTTTTTTTTTTTTTTCTTCTGAGAGTCATACCTATACTTTACCATATAATGGCGTATAATGTGTTTTACTGAAATTTAAAGAAAATGAAAAAAGACTCGTGGATTTTTCCCCGTAGGATAAATTTCTTACAAAAAAATCAACCACCTATACTTTATCATCCACGAGAGCCCCCCCAAATAAATAGCTCTTATTCAAATCACGTATACCTACTCGTACGAGTGTGTGTCACGTGAAATCTTATCTCTATGAGGAAAAAAGCGTCCTTTCTCTCGCAATCCATCGCAATCCCTGACTCAAAAAGAAGAAAAAAAAAAAAGCAAAGATTTCCCTGAAAAACCTGCGCCTACAAGCTGGTGTGGGAAAAAGAGATAAAATAAGAGAGAGAGAGAGAGAAAAAAAATGGAACAAATAAAAAAATGTATACGTATAAAAGTGGCGTGAATGTGTCCTCAGGCGAGTCGGGGCTCGGTAAATCCACGATGATAAATTCGCTCTTCCTGACGGACATCTACAGCGCCGAGCAACCGGGCCCGAGTCTAAGGATGAAGAAGACCGTCGCCGTGGAGACCAGCAAAGTCGTGCTCAAGGAGAACGGGGTCAACCTCACCCTCACGATCGTCGACACCCCCGGCTTCGGCGACGCCGTCAACAACAGCAACTGGTCAGTATACACAATCCTTTTTTTTCCAGTGAAACTCGATTACATCTATACATACGGAGCAAAGGGAGGACATTAATCAATCGTCCACAACATTCTTCCACCCTCCCCCGTTCCTGCCAGAATCCCCCTGAGTGGGAGATGCTCGACACTAACCGTAAGGGGGACAGAGTATATAATTACACTGTATAGGTACGCCAGACCGGGCCAATTATAAAACCCAAAGTACAATTGTACTCGGAGGAGTTTTTGGAGCAAGCAGGCGACGCCCCAATTTGCCGCAGGGTCGGTGAAACGCGTTTCCCCAAAAATAGCCTCGCTGAAACTAGAATGGATATTTCGGTCCCTCGATTCAATTGAGAAAACCCTCATCCGACAATAACCTGGTAATTTCATCTGAGAAGAGTAAAATATATAGTTTGTAGTAGTGGATTTGGTCCTTCCACCTGTAGGGAAAGCTCGTCACAACTTGTGTGTATAAGTCGGTACACAAAGTACACAAAGCTTTTTTTTTTGTTGAATAGCTGGCAGCCGGTGATCGAGTACATCGAGAGCAAGTACGAGGAGTTTCTGAACGCGGAGTCGCGGGTGGTGAGGCGCGCCATATCCGACAACCGCGTCCATTGTTGCCTGTACTTCGTGGCCCCCTCCGGACACGGGCTCAAGCCCCTCGACGTCGAATTCATGCAACGACTCCACGACAAGGTCAACATCATACCCGTCATCGCCAAAGCCGACACCATGACACCCGACGAGTGCGTCTATTTCAAAAAACAAGTGCGTTAATACTTTATTACCATCATTACCATTACCATTGTCATGTGTCTGATTGTTTTTTTCGTTGAGTGCTTATATATCATTATAAGCTTAGCTGCACGCAGAGTGTGTTTAATTGGCCAAGAGAGTGTACTATTGTACTATACTGATCAAGAACATGTAATATATGAAGTTTAATTTCCTCATTGAAATACGTGCCTTAAATTCTTTTATGAGAAATTGAGTGTACACTTTGGATCGTGAAATTAGAATAGAAAAATCTTATCACAAAAAAATGAAAAATAAATTTAAATAACAATGAATGTTGCAAGGGAACTTTTTGCTCAGCTGATCAATGTAAATGTACAGTTTTTAACATCAGTTGTTATACCTCCTTTCTACCTTGAGCCCAATGAATATGTCATTTGTATTTTTCACCTCTTTTATTTTTATAGCATAAAAAACCATACATACCCGGCGAACAAATCAATTTGCACGCGATACCGTAGACACGGAGCATAATGCGTTTCTCCCGCCTTTGGTTTCTTCCAGATACTGAACGAAATAGCACAGCACAAAATAAAAATCTACGAGTTCCCGGACGCCGAGGATGAGGAGGAGAATAAATTGCACAAACCCCTGAGGGACCGAGTTCCCTTCGCCATCGTCGGTGCGAACACGGTCATTGAGTACGACGGCAAGAAGGTCCGTGGCAGAAAGTACCCTTGGGGAGTGGTGGAAGGTACGTACCGTTTTCTTTTCATTTTTCTTCTCCTCTCGACGCTACACGCTCACTTTACCGCGGATCAGCCGATTCGGCAAGCCACGAGCTATGATTTGTGCAGTGGCTGTCGTTGCATCGAAATCTTCGAAGGTTTTGGGTGATAGGAAAAATCTAGGGGAACAAATGATGACGAAATTCTTTTGTTTTGCAGTTGAAAATCTGGAACACAACGATTTCATCGCTCTGAGGAACATGATCATCCGAACGCACCTGCAAGACTTGAAGGACGTGACGAACAACGTGCACTACGAAAACTTCCGGTGTCGCACTTTGGCTGGTCTAAGCGTCGACGGCAAACCCACAAGGGTATCCAATAAGTGAGTAACCGCTGAACGAATAAACTCTTTAGATGGATAATACGTATATGAATACAGACCACTGCATCCTCGTGCACATCAATTAGTGCGAAATAGCTGTACATGTCACTCTTTCACTTTTAAATATCACGATTAACTAGAGTGAAATCATACATTTTACTGTGAGCTAGTTAGTCACGTTTAATCGAATATGTTTTATGGTCGAATTAAATTTTAATTCCGTCATTATCAACAGTAGGGATGATTACGCATCATTATCAATATTGATTTATTTAAATGTGTGTGTACTTTCTTTTTCCTTTTTCTTTCTTTTTTTTCACAACGACACAATTGGTAAGAAGACAGGAGAACAAAAAAAAAGCTTGTGCATGCAAACTGATCAAAATGTTGAAAGAGAACAAATTTGTTTGTTTAGCCTATATATTTAGATGTTGTTTTCTTTTTTTGAAAGACTACGTTTTTTTACTAGATGTCAAAGTGTTGCTAAATAATGAAATACGATTAATAGAATTCTAATAAATATTTCACGTTGGTCAGTTTGTGCCCTCCTGGAGTGATGAACAGTTTCATGATGGTATGGTAAGTTTATTTAAGGCTAAAATCCTGTAATACAGTTTTGTGTGCACAAGTCTTATACATAGATATATATGAAAATCTTGATTTTAGTTTACATGTAATACTACTAGACCAGTTGTACGTAGTTTATAGGGACTCCCAATAGCCAATATTTTAGTGAAACTCACGATATTCGCAAACAATTATTTTTTCTTATTTTTAGTTACATTCATTTATATTTAGAATTTGCACGATATACATATCATCATCCCAGCTTTATTTATCGTAAAATATCGTTTTTAAAGCATAAAAAAATCATGCTGTAGAAGGCACGAAAAACATTAAATTTCATTGCAAAAATTTGCAGTTTGCTCATTGTTTTTTTTTTTACACACCACATACATGGATTTTATTATTAATTTGAATAAGTCTTGATTTTAGGCTACTGTTATTTTGCAGTTTTATGTTATTGCACTATTTTTTCACGGCTTATTAGAAATCATCCAAACCTCGAAACATCAAATCACTATTTATAAGTGTATCCAGTAACACTAAAGTTTATTGGCCGACCGCAGTAGTAATATTATAAACGATTATTATTATTATTAAAGGAACCCATTAGCGCAGTTGGAGGAAGAAAAAAGAGAGCACGAGAACAAAATGAAAAAAATGGAAGCCGAAATGGAGCAAGTCTTTGAAATGAAAGTACGCGAGAAGAAGCAAAAACTCAAAGAATTGGAAACCGACGTAAGTATTTGATGGTGAACTGTACGATTAGAGTTTCAAAAATTGTACTAACAGGAGTAAAACTTTGTATAATAGCTCCAAAAGAGGCATGACCAAATGCGACGTTCTTTGGAGCAGCAATCAAAGGAGGTTGACGAAAAGAGGCGAGCATTTGAGTCAGAAAGATCAGCTTGGGAGCAGCAGGCTGGCGTCAGTATTGAAGATTTGCGACGAAAAAGTCTCGAGGCTAATTCAAAAGAGTGAGTACATACTTTTAAATAATCTCTAGTTTAGAGATGCAGTTCCTTTTTACTATTTTACCACTCTTTTTGATCTTTACTTCATAATCTTGCAGGCCAAGATTTTATGTATCTGATAAAAGTAACTGCAAAAATGTTTACCTCTTATAATTTATATTTCTATAGTTTATCTTCCTTCGTTTGTTTTCTTCGTAGTACTTTAGTTAACCCTTCATTATTGCCTTTAATAGAAATGAGGTGTAGACTGTGTTATGATTAGAGGAAATTACTAATAATTATTAGATGAATTAGAGCACAATTGCCATTGTAGAGATTAGTTATAGGTGACATCGAAAAAACACGACTAATTACATGTTATTTATTTATGCAATCACTGCTTCTGCTTAGTTTAATTTATCATGTTGTCAATTGCTTGATAGTTTAACGCTTATGTTTTACGCTTCATTGCAATTAGGTTCATCATTTTTTTTTTACTTTGCGCTAATCGCGTCTCGTTCTATTTTCAACTTTACAATCATCCATCATTTCATGACCATTCTAATTTGAACACTAGTGTTTTTATCAGTTTACAGAATAATTAACAAACGTGTGATTTATAAAGCTGTTGTTGTATTTAAACGCATGTAATAATTGATTATTGTTCGTTTTTGAATGCGCCTTTGCCGAATGATTTCTCTTTATTTAAGTAATTTTAAGTCATAGCTATATACTTTTTATTGAATGCATAAATATAAAAGTAATTTTAACGGCAAGGCTTCACTTCTGCGATATACTGATGAAATCAGTAAGTTTCTTGTAACATTATATTAAGCTTTGGCTTAAATTCGGCAATCTTTAATTTAATAACAAAAAAATACATAATGCATTTAAGTTTTTTTAACAATCCCAAATCTCTGAATGAGTATATATATTCTTACATAAACATGATGAGGTGTGCCTGAAACTAACTAGTTCAGAACGTGTCCTAACAATTTGCATAAAAAGTAATTGTGTCTGCTCTCGTGTGATTTTTAGTTGAGTTTATTTCTCAACTTTATTCTGCGCCTGGTTGTTGCTTATGTAGAAATCATAATGGTTATTCTTAAACAGTTAGTTTAATTTTTATTGTAAAACCTTCTTTTTTTAATACTGTGTATGCGTGCTAAATGTTTTTTTTTTTTTTTTTTTTTTTTTTTTTTTTCGAGCGGCCTCTCGTTTATGTATACACACAAGCTCGCGTAGTCCGATTACGGACAGTGATACCCGAGAGTTGGTGCGCGAGTTTTAAGTGGCACGAGGATGGCTTTTATTCGCTCGTCGCGACCGAGCTTTTCTTTNTTTTTTTTTTTCTTAGCTACACACTTCCTATTACTTATATAAATAGTACGCGCCTCTTCGTAAATTGAAAAAATAAAAATTTTAATACATTATCCCTACACACGTCACACCAATTACATTTTTTATTCTGCTCTTATGTATCTACCACTATGCTCAGTTGTTCATGTTCTTTTCAGTAACGTAACTGATATTTGAACCTCACCAACTGTATGTTGTACAAATAAAACCTAACGAGCTGTAACAAGTTAACTGCTTTGCTTTAAAATATTCTGAGTATAGTTATTATTGCATTGCTATGTACAACATATCAATTCATTATTCAAGTTGACTTGATTTATATTTTACGCTTTTTTTTATATTCTTGTTCTCGTGCAACGTATTTTTTTACTATTTTTTCTTAGCCATGTTAAATTGTATCAAAGTGCCTTCTTTAAAAATAAAAAATAATATGCTTCACCTCCGTAAACTTTATTTTAATCCAACTTCTAATTATTTACTAACGTTCTTAACATTTTCACAATAGATAATGTCCTCGTATGTATATTATTACAAAATCAAAAGTTCATAAGAATTTAAAAATCAGTTTGATACACAAGAGATGAATGAAAGTGCCAAACTCGTGAAAACTCATCGCAAAAGTGAAGCCTCGCAAAACCGGTTATAATAAAGCTTGAAAATTGTCTCGAACGTTTGTATATACATGTTGAATGAGCCTACCTACTTTTATGGTATTGTCTTGTCGTGATTCCGAGACTGCGGCATAACGCTTGCAACCTTTTGTTATTATAATTATTACTTTTGAATGTTTTCTTTTTTACCTTATTATTTCCACTGCTCTATATTTGTTGTGTGTTACCAAAAGAAAAAAAAAAAAAAAAAAAAAAACGAAAACAATGTAACAATCAAAGCAATGTCCGCGTGTCCCTGATCTCTAGGACGGGATCGGTGTCGTCCGATGGCTCCGGTGGTACTTTGCGCGGCGCTCGCGGCATAGGTAGTCTACTGCGCCGGCACACCAGTTTCAAATCGCCGCAGGAGAACCCCATGCCGATACAACAGCTTGTCATACAGCATCCCGAGCATCCTCAGTATAATTGATGATAAAAACAATAAAACATTGTCAAAATTTCTTTACTACCATACCATCTTAATACATTCGTTCTCTTTTATTATTATTATTACTATCGTGTTGGCTCTCTGTTTGGAAAATTATTAGTTGAAAGCAGCTTTTTGGGTGTGCGAGCTTTTTTCTTTTTTTTCAATGGTGCAAATGCTAAATTGCATTTACATGTATTCTTAGAGTGTAATACATTTTTATAGTATTTTTTGTAGTTTATTACCAATAAATCGAGACTGTACTCAGCATTCCAAACATAAATTTACAAACTAAATATTAAAATATCTGTTGAAACAATATATTTTACTTGGCTGTTGGTGCGTTCGATGCAATTTTCTAACCAAAGAGCCACTCGCGCAAAAAAAAAAAAAAAGACTTTTTGTTTTTCACAGTTGATACCATAAGTTTTATCAGTATTTTTGAGGTTTTGTGAAAATTACATTGTGTCGCAAATAAAATAGCATGGTGTCGCTTTCGGGTGAAAAATGTTTTTTTTTATTTTTTTTTTTATTACTTAACGAATTTAATGTTTTGTAAATTAACGCTCATGTCATGAATAATAACAGTAACAACCAAAAATAACATTTTACATTTATCTTTGTCATTGTACATTTAACGGGATGTGAAAGCTTTACGAAAAGCAGCTGTTTATTTACTATCGTAAAATTAAAATGCTTGAGTTTTTTTTGTCAACTCTTTGACCATTGGGTCATAAACTTTCACATCCCTTAAAGATTTAATTGACTTGTCGTAAGCTACAATTTAATATTATCGCCGCTCATTATTCTGTAAAATTGTACGCGTTCAACTGCAAAAACTTGCAAACATAATTTTTCATGCGAATCATATCAATCATAAATTGTTTGATAAAATCATTTTTGTGTACGTCAAAATTCATTACTTAGAAGCTAAAGGGAAACATAAAAATAATTAGTCAAGATTACAAGAGTCAGAAAAATATTTTGTCATATTTTTTAACACGACGAAGTAGCTTGTAGTCCTGTGGCATAATAACACGTAATAATTATATACACGCATTTAGCGAACAAAGTGAAGAAAAGAATGTGAAAAATCAAGAAAGCGAGAGACACTCGCAAAAATACGTTGTAAGTGACACTTAAATTAGCTCAAGACTTTGATCATAGTTAAGCCTAAATAATAGCGTGAATTTAATCACGTGTTTGTATACGCGTTGCGACTTAACGAGTGAGTTCGTTAGAACGTTCCTAGGATATATAATATACACAAATATTATATTCGTATACCAAGTACTTATAGTTATTATAAAGATTATTGAGCATTTAAAGGTGAAAAACTAACTTCACGCACGAGCACGCGCTGCACATAACGCAATGGAAAAAAAAAGAAATCTATTGTAAACCCCGAACAAGCTGTCCGTCGGGCTTTATATAAAAAATAAATTTTTTTTTCCCCAAAAACCTAATGAATCTCGTAAATAATAAGTCATCGATGAACCGGCGGACGACTTGATGGAGGTGGAGAAAGAAAAGAACACCACAAAAACGCGCACACACAAAATTAACTGTAGCTGTTCGATCACGAGTTATGTTGATTGGATACTTACTAGATATCCATGGAAAACCTAATGATTTTTTTTCGCCAAAACAAAATGTATTCAGTGCTTTTCCTACGAGAGAAAAGAAAAAAGAAAATAAGAATTAAAACCAAATCCTTACTAACCCAAGTTAATATTTATTTCACGCCCCTGTGTAGCGCTACATCCACCACGAAATCGATTATTACACACGCACATCATATACACTTTCAAAGCTCGTTCATTGATGGTTTTTGTTTGCAGCAGCAGTAATAGCAAAATGAAAAGTTTCAGGCGAGCCGTGTCTAAGACATGGTTCAGGCGTAAACGGTCTTAATTCGACGCTTCAAAGCGATCCTTGCGATGTCGCGAGTGTCTTTGGGAATAACCGAAACTTTTCAGTAAAAAATGTTTCTTACCTGTAACAACGAATTAACGAGAGTTGCTCTGTATACTGACAGCTGGCATGTGGCTTGATGATCGTGACCCGTGAAAGAGATATGTACGTTTTTTTTTTTTTTGTTCTAAAGCATGTTTTCACTGTGTCCGTTTCAGCTGTGTTGGCATGTTTTTTTTTCTTTTCTATACTTTCTTCATTCGCAGTACATTTACGTATTTTTGGTGTTTAACGTCAAATGTTGAGATTTTGTTGAGTCAGCTTGAAGAAATAACACGATTTTAACATTTTATAAATTTTTCTTTCTTCTCTTCGTCGCAAATTTTGTAACGCGTCAATAATCTATGAGAAAATGAGTTTTTTTGCCAACATTGTGATAATGTTATGTATTAAAACACGATAACGTGCAGAAACTGTATATATCAGATTCAATTTGCAACAGCCATCCACTTCTCATGTAAACTCATACTTTGTATTCAGTTGTAACTGCAGTTGTGGTAAAGGTGGGCTTTGTCAGTAGTTAGATTCCTGTAAAATGGACACTATCCTAATATCATTTCATCATGTAAAGCTCTAACTTTTCATTTATAATTTTAGTTAAACAAAATCACGCATATTCCTTGTACCCTGCCTTAAAATACCTATCGTCTTTACTCATATTTATTGAGAAAAAAAAAAAGATTTTACAATTTTCATTTCATTTTTTATTCTAAAAAGTTGCTCACACTCGTATATTGGTCATTTTTTTTATTTTTCTCAAACATTTTATTTCGACAACAATACATCGCACAAAAGTGATCCCTGCATTGCCGACTAAGTTCAAATAATGAAATTCGCGATATCGAGATGTGCTGCCACCTAAGTAGTTGATTTTTTAAATAATGTTAACTGTTGGAAACACCAAAAGTTTGGTCAATTTCATATACTGGTTTATCATCATCGGGACCTCTCATTTAATGTTATTATAGTCATTTTAATATTCTCTCGAACAAGTACTAAGTACAGTTGCATTGAAAATCTCGTTGGGACGGATAAAGGTCAACGTGCCCTAACGAGATCAGCATTTTTTAGTTGAAAAAAATTTTTTTTCACCCCCGAAATTCACTCCCTAAATTTTTCCTCTTTCAGAACCGTCGACGGTAAGGAAAAGAAGAGCAAGAAGAAAGGCCTGTTCTAAAGCGCCCCTGAACTGCGTAATTCAGCCAAAGATCCAAGAGCGGTCGTGTCGCGTATCACCCGCACATATTATACACGCGCGCGCAAAACAAACAACGCAGCGATACGCATCAAAGTATCACTAAATAAAACGACAGCTGTTATTATTTTTCCCCTTGTTTCGCACGACTAATCCGAGCCTGCCATCCCGAGAGAAGAAAGAGCCTTGACGCGCAAGCACGCAAACACCAATATTATAGACCCATGTGTGCATCAGGTAAGTCTTGAACGGAAATATGTATAAACAATGAACTTATCTATACATGCGTACCGTTGATTTCTCACGTACATTTGAATAATGCAACGCAAACGGGCCTGTTGTCATTGCCTACTTCTGTATACAATATTGCTTCGGTTATCGTTACTCTTCTCCAACGAAACTGTCATTCCGGCTCGAGCGACAAGAGGATCAATAGCTTCAAAGTTTTTATAATAAAATATTTTTTTCCGTTATGACGCTCTTTCGATATTAGGAATCCGGAGAGAAAGATTGTAGTATAATAATAATAAAAACAATAAAAACAACCAAGTCTTCTGCACCACAGCGTCGTCCACTTTTTTTTTTTCGTATGGTATAGCGAGACGCGTAAACGCGATGGTAATCATTGCAAAATTAATACTGTCATTATTATTAATTGCAGCTGTCATTTAGTTTTTTCTTTTTTTTTCCCACCAAGAGAAAAACGACGAAAGTATATGTCTATGATTGAGAGTTACTCAACGATCAAGTGCGAAAATTACTCTGCGATTGCGGCGGTCTCGGTTTTTCTGTAAAAATTATTTTGAAATCATGAAAGTAAATCCTCTGGAGAGGAAATTTTTTCGCGCAAGAACATAAATCATCGATTCGTGCAAAAATAATTGAGGTGTAGTATTTATAAACGCGTATGCAGGCGCGTGGACGTATTTTTAATCGACTAAATTAACAGAGCGCATAAGGATAAACAAAACGAGGAAGGGGTTAAGGGGGGGAGGAATCGTGTCATATACCGAGTCCAGTTGATGTGGTTCTTTGGATGTATATTTGTGAAATCATGTTTAAAGTGCGAATGAGAGTGCAAGCGAGCGACTGAACGAGTGCGAGTTTTGCGCGCTGCTCGCAAGGGTTATACGATAACGGTAAAGATGACAAAAGTAAAAGAACGCCGATTAAAAATAGCTTGTGTAGCACTGCGTGTAACCGAGGTGAATGCGTGTTAAGGATGTTTGTTTCGTGGATATAATTATGCAGCTGCGCTGGATTGTTTACTTATCGAAGATTTGTGACTGTATTACACGCGCATCAAATCATCAAATTTGTTTTTGTTTGTTTTCTTTCTTTTTTTTTTTTTTTCATGCAGATTACATATTTATACCTTTTTATCGTGACAGTGTCATTAATTTTCATTAAAAAAATATAAACCCCCGACTTCGTCCTTGCACCAGTTTAAATATTAATCATCATTTATTTAATCAATCAAAATGATTCAGTGCTGTCTCATACTTTTTTTCCCCTTTGATGTTTTGAAACAATAAAAAAAATCTTTCCTCGGATCGTATTTTATTCATAAAAATTCCACATTTTAATTTTTTTTTTTTTCCTTTGACAATTTTTTCCTTCCTCAAGCAAGTTTCGTTAGTATTTTGTTCTGTTGAATAAAATTTAAAAATAGTGCCAAATATCTGGACTTGAGTAAAGTAACTATTAGTTACCGGCAGAATCAGTGCCATTGGCTATTTCATTTAGCTTGAAACAAAAATATAATTTAGTGCCTAGAAAAAAAAAACCAGCCATATGTATAAAAGTCAATTCGTCTATTCCTCGTATAAACTGCTAGATGTCGTGTCATTTATTTAACGTATTTTAAAATTTCAAACCAAGCATTCATCCCATGGCAGCAAAAATCATTGCGATAAGGAACCATTTGACGAGCGTACAGTTAGATACGAGCGGTCTAGAGTCATAATTATCTTTGTTTTTCAATTAATTTATTTGATTTTTCCAATCACACATTTTTCTTCGAGTCACCGTAAGCAGTTTTGAACGAGTGGGGCATTCAAAATCAGAATAGCCTTTACGTATTTTTCAATAAAGTGAAGATAAAAAAGCGAAAAAAAGAAAGCTACTCATTAGCATAGGTGACGGAGTTTGGGAAACGATTTTGCATTTCTTTTTCGGCTCTTACAGTTGCTGGTAGTATTTGGACAAGCCGGTTTTCGGAATGGCTTTGCGATTTTAAAAATTCTTCAATGAACGTGGCCAAATTTTTCTTTTACTTTCTTTTACGAAACTAATTTTCGATTTGTACGATGTATAAAGTCGAGAGTGGCGTTTCAGCAAATCCACATTAAAAGGAATTGTATACATTATACATACAGAGTGAATTGTGAATATATACGTATAATCGTTAAGTTTAGTTTAAAATAATTTCCGAGTAAACTTTTTATAGATGTCAATGCTTTTGAATTCAATTCAAAAGTTTTTGCTCTGCTGTAGCATTGAAATTTTCAATTAATACGTGATATCTGTAAGCTGTATAATATGTTTGTCAGTATTTTTTTAATGTTTCTCTTTTATACAAGTGAAAAATGTAACAAATTTATTAATATTTTGTACCTAAATTTTTACAACTTATTTATAAAAGAGTTTATTATCACAAAAATATATTTTTACATACTTTAATTGATGTTGCCTTAAGCGTATTTTAATTGCAAAAATATCACGAGGCACACAATAATTACGTTTTCTTTAAAACATCCAAAGTAAGTCGAATTTTCAACATCGAAATTGCACTTGCTTTAACGTGTGTAATATTGTTAATTTTTTCTTAAATAACAATTTTAGTTTAATGATTAGAAAATGTATTTTATATGTCAACTCGAAAAAATAAATCAAGTGAAATACATATTTTTGTTTAACATCATAAATGAACGTTATTATTAAATTTTTAAACTGTACATGACTAAAATGATTCGATAGATTAAATAAACTATATAACCGTATAAATGATGGCCGAAAAAATTTTCTTTCGTAGCAATTGACGAAAACTTTGAGCATAATTTTTATTGCAGGTTGTTTGCGTATGTTTTTGTAAATGTTACGTGTGATGTTTATGTATTTATCTGTGAAAAAAAACTTGTGTCCTCACGTATTATTTTCTGAAATAAGTTTATTCGATGGCTTCTTTATACATGTTTGCCAGAATTTTGTACGCTTGCGATTGAAAAAAAACGTAATTTTAAATTAATCACTACGTAAGACTGGAGATATTATGAAGATACAAAAGAAAAATATATCTAAACAGATCGAAAAACTAAGCTATTGCTGCTGTATGCTTCTCGGGAATTTGTATAATGAATAAAATTCGATTAATTCTAAGCGTCATACTTATATGAATCACAACTATGTATTTGATAAATTAATTATAAAAATGTATAAAAACCAAACTTTATTGTTTTGTTTGAATGTACCTTTTACTTTTCAGAGCTTTTAAATTACCTACATTTGCACATTTATTTGTTCACATTTTTCCTCAAAAAAAAAAAAAAAAAAAAAAAAAAAAAAAAAAAAACATCCCAATGAAATTGTATAAAATTAACTCTCGTATCACTGAGCATAATATTTGTATGCTGCATGGTATACGTATGAGACTAATTTCTGATCTATCGTTCAAGCAGATCATCCTTCAATTGTTACCGAGAATTAATTTTTTTTTTTTTGCTCCATTCACGTATACTGTGTCGTTGCCACGTAGTATACATGTGTCGCATCGATGGAATGCGAGGATCTTAATAAACGAACGTCTCTTCCCAAGAAAGTTGTCCCGACATTCGCCAGGGCACGTGCACACGTTCAGTTTTTATATACCTATTTACACACACTCACCAGCATACATCGCGTGCGATTTACACTGCTGTTGGCTTGTTCTTTGGATGTTAAAACGTTAGCACCAGATGCTGTCATGACGTGTGTTCAGTTTTTTTTTTTAAGATTAATTAATTTTCAAGTGCGCCAGCGTAGCGTAATGCAACACTATAAGTACCATTGATACTTTCAACGAGTGAAAGAACTTTAGAGCCGCCTATACGTATAGCTTAATTAGTATGCCGATGTACCAAGTTTTCCGAAGTATGGCGCAATGAGTAAATATTTATTGCAAATTTTTTATTCATCAACAAATCCTACGGTGAAAAAGTGAACTGCGACATTATATATATATATATA